CAGCGGCTACTGCAGTGTCTCCGATAGCGATACAACCAAAGGCAACCTCGTGCTGAGGTATGAAAAGTACCGATCTTAAAAACCTAGAATCTTCTCAGTCTAGAACGTTATTTTGGGGAGATACCTTTGCGAGCTATCTGAACTCATCTGAGAGGAGCTGCGGACATTCGTGACGGTAGACAACGAACTGCTTGATCTAGCAGATTGTGGGCGACGATTCTGCTATAACAAGTAAATTGAGTGTTATGTACAAGAGATATTATGGATAAGAAAAAATGATTATTTTAGTGGTTTTTTTTCTTGCTTGAAGAAGGCCATAATGGATCAGTAGGAAAATGCGCTTTAATAGCTCCGAGACATTTTTTATGCATAAAAACAAGATCATTGCTGTTGGTTTACGTTAGGAAAAGAACGTATTGTAAGCTCACAAATAAATTTCAAAAAAAAGCATTCTCACCACTTCCTCGTGCGCTGTCATCTCTTCGTTGTTCTTAACAGTAGCTTTGTGACTCTGAAATATCAATTCTATCCAATAGGCCATCACTACTAAAATGAAACATACAGTCTCTTCTCGTTGGCGTGTTGCATCCAAACGTGAATTTGCCTTGAAAAAAATACATGACAGTGGAAATATGACGAGATGCGGGTAAAGTTAATATAGAAGCATGCCTGTGTAGAAGACAAAATTTTGGAAACGTTGTTGGGAAATTCAGGTGATGGTTTAGTAGCATCAGTGGGCCGGTGCTGTAAAGAGGTTTTAAAGAAAAGAGGTCATGTTAATTCAAAAGAATCAGCCGTGGCTTGAACAATTTCTTAAAGAACACTTACAAAACTAAGTGAAGCGGATTGTTGCGCCTTGTCTTTGCCATGCTCAACCTAAACAGCAATATTTTCCGAGTAGCTTGCACGCATCTCACAACTATCCAAATGAGAAAAAAAAACTTAAAGAAACAATGATCAAGTTCTAGAACGTCTTTACATTCAGATGACGTTATGAAAATCAACAGAGAGC